AGGAAGGAAGGAAGGAAGGAAGGAAGGAAGGAAGGAAGGAAAGAAGGAAGAATTCAGCTGGGGAAACTAGCCAGGAGAGACACTGCTGGACTTGCTCAATCTATGGAGTCAGTAATGCAGAGATGAGAAACCTCTAAGTAAAGACACAAATGTTCATGGCTGCAGGGTTTTTGGTTTTTTTTCACCTTTTAGTTAAACTTTATTGTGGTGTAATTTACATACAATAAAATTCCATCACCCAGAAAACTCCCTTGTGCCCCTCAGCAGTCAATTCCCACGTGAAAGACAATGACTGATACGATTTCTGCCACCATACACCATTGTTGCTTGATTTTATATTAATGGAATCATACAATATTAACATGTACTCTTTTTCCTCCAATTGTTTTTACAGTTTTACTGGAGTGAAGCTGTGAAACTGACATGCATAAACTACACCTGATTTAAAGGGCACAATTTGAAATGTTTTAACATATTCCCCCTTTTAGACTATCACCACAGCCCAGAAAATGAACATACCCATCACTCCAAAAAGTTTCCTCATGTCTCTTTGTTTTCCATTCCTCCCTCCCCACTCCAACTACTGATCTGCCTTTTGTCACTATACATTAGTTTTCACTGTTAAGCTCTGTATATAGAATCATCTAGCATGTACTTTCTTGTGCCTGGCTTTTTTCATTCAGCATAATTATTTTGGTTCATCCATGCTGTTGTATCAACACTTTATTCCTTATTTTCTTCCTGCACAGTATTTCATATTATGGGAATACTACCATTCATTTATCCGTTCACTTACTGATGAAAGTTGGAGTGTTTTCCAGTTTGGGACTCTTATGGAAAAAGCCACTGTGAACATTCCTATACAAGTCTATTTGTGAACATAAGTTTTCATTTATCTTGGGTAAATACCTAGACATAGAATTGTTGGGCATAGTATGGATGTGTATTTAATTTTATAAGAAACTGCCAAACTGTTTTTTCCAAAGTGGCTGTTACCATTCTACACTCTCACTAAATAGCTGGTTTAACATCAAGCTTGCTCCTATCTCACAGATTGTGTACTTGTTCCCTGTTCCCTCTTCCTGGAAGGACTTTCCACTAGTTTTGGCCGGCTTCTTGACATTCAGGTCTCGGTTCAAATGTCATATTCCAAAGAGGCTGTTATAGACTAAATTGTTTCCCCCAGAAATTCGTATGTTGAAGTCACAACCCCCCAGTACCTTAAAATGTGACTGTATTTGGAGATAAGGTATGTATGTACATATGTATGTATGTATTTACTTATTGATTGTTTTGAGACAGAGTCTCACTGTGTTCCGGGTTAGAGTGCCATGGCATCAGTCTAGGTCACTACAACCTTAAACTCCTGGGCTAAAGCGATCCTCAGGCCTCAGCCTCCCGAGTAGCTTGCCACCATGCCCGGCTATTTTTTTCTATTTTCTCACTCTTGCTCAGGCTGGTCTCGAACTCCTGACCTCAAGCTATTCTCTCACCTCAGTTTCCCAGGGAACTAGGATTACAGGCATGAGCCACCACACCCGGCCTGGAGATAAGGTCTTCAAAGAGATGATAAAGTTAAAATAAGGCTTTTAGAGTGGGGCCCTAATCCAATGTGATGCTAGTCATACTAGACCAGAAGAGCAAGAGACACCAGAGATGCACCTACACGGAGGAAAGGCCATCTGCAAGCCAAAGACAGTGTCAGGAGAAACCAGACCTGCTGATACCTCCTCTGCTCTAGAGCTGTGAGAAAATAAATTTATGTTGTTTAAGCCACCCAGTTTGCGGTATTTTGTTATGGCAGCCCTGGTGAACTAATATAAAGGGCTTCCAATGACCATTTTACAACCATTGTAATAATTGTTTCAAGCAAGAATCATCAACGAATTCTAAAACCAGTGGGCAAGAGTCTTATGAAGAATAGGATATTCAAATAGTCTCAAACTGTCTTTCCAGAAGATAATTAATAGTTACAAAGGGGAAAAGTATAACTTTATGGTGGGGTATATCTCAGCAGACACCACCCAACCAAATAATGGAACTTAACTAACATCACTGATGACGGCACAAACACGATGTCTGTCGTGTGCCTCCTGATGAGAGGCACTGAAGACATGTTCTTTCAATAATAGTATTCTTGTCAAAAAATGCATATTCTGGCCGGGCGTGGTGGCTCACGCCTGTAATCCTAGCACTCTGGGAGGCCGAGATGGGAGGATTGCTTGAGCTCAGGAGTTTGAGACCAGCCTGAGCAAGAGTGAGACCCCGTCTCTACTAAAAAAATAGGAAGAAATTACCTGGACAACTTAAAATATACAGAAAAAATTAGCCAGGCATGGTGGCACATGCCTGTAGTCCCAGCTACCTGGGAGGCTGAGGCAGGAGGATCGCTTGAGCCCAGGAGTTTGAGGTTTCTGTGAGCGAGGCTGACGCCACAGCACTCTAGCCCAGGCAAGTGAGAATCTGTCTCAAAAAAGAAAAAAAAAATGCATATTCTGAATCTAATCATGAGAAAATATTGAACAAATCCAAAGTTAGGGACATTCTACAAAATAACTGACTAGTACTCTTTGGAAATGTCAAGGTCATGAAAGACAACAAAAGGCTCGGTAACTAATTGCCTTTACAGATTAAAGAAAACTAGGAGACATGACAACTAAATGCAATATGTGATCCTGGGGAATAGCTATAAAGGACATTATTGGGACAATTAGCAAAATTTAAATATGGATGGTATATTAAATGAAAGAATTGTATTATTGTTAAAATTCCTGATTTTGACCTTTGTACTGAGATTATGAAAGAGAATGTCTTTTCTTAGGAAGCACACAGAGAAATGTTTGGGATAAAGGAGCAAGAAGGCAGAAACTCTGAAATAATTTAGGAAAAAAGAATATGTACATATTATATACAATACCATATACATGCATACCATATGTATATATATGTGTGTTTACATATACATGCAAGAGAGAACACGATATGGAAATACATGCAAGATATAACAATTGGTTATTCTGGCTGAAATATAGTATGAGTTCTTTACTATTCTTGCAATTTATATGTAAATCTGAATTTTTATCCAAAAAAAATTACAGAGGCTTTCAGTGACCATACACACCATCAGAAGTGGCCTGTCCTCAACCCCGAGGCACTCTTTAGCTCATTCTTTTTCTTCATCACACTGAATCACTGGCAAAAATTATCCTGTGCATTTATTTAATAATAATAGTTAACACTTACTGTGTGCCAGACTGTTCTTTTCTAAGTGCTTTAACTGTAACACTTCTGCGAATCCCCTAACTACTGTTCCCATCTTACAGGTGAGGAACCAAACACAAGGAGGTTGATTAACTTGCCAAGGTCACTCATGTGGCTTGTCTCCTCCAGCGACACAGAACCTCAACTAAGGCAGAGACTATCTCGTCCACTGCTCTTTTCCCCGGGACTTATTAATACAATGGTGCCAAGCACGTTATAGGTGCTCAATACGTATCTGTAGATTCAGTTAACAAATACCGCACACTCATTAGGCACTGGGGTACAAAGCAGTGCAGAAACTATTCAAAAATCCATGCCTAAATGGAGCTTTACATTGAGAATAACTTTCAGCCCTACACCCGGTTAGCCACCCTCTTTCATTTGGTTCAATCACCCCTGAGAATTAAGGTCCATTCTATCCATTTTGCAGAGGTAACAGGATCAAGGTGGGGCAATGATTTGCGCAAAATCACTGGGCTACGTAGAAGGGAAGGTCGGGATTCCAACCCAGTCCGCGAGGTTCCCAGGCCCGAGCTATGAATCAATCAAACAGACAAAGCCAATCACCCGATCAGTATTTATTGAACGCCTACTGAGTTCGGTTAGTCCTCATGCAGGCCAGGTGAAGAGAGGAGGTTGTGGTGCGCAAGCAACTGCGGAGGCAGGGAGGCCTCCGCGGATCACGGGAATTTGGCGCCCATTTTTTTGTTGGTTGAGTGTTCTCGCCGGTGATTGGGCCCCGGCGCGGCGTGCCGGTGCGCCAGGCTGCGGCTGCTCCGTCGACCTTGGCAGGACCCGGGCGGCGTAGAACTCGGCTGGCCTCCCGGGGGATGGGCCACCAGGAGTCTCCGCTGGCCCGAGCGCCGGCGGGAGGTTCGGCTTATATAAAGAGGTTACGTAAAGGGCTCAGCTGGCGCGAACACGTGGAGAGCCACGGGAGCCCGGAAGGCTGGGCCTCCCCCGCGAGCGCCACTGCCACTGCCGGGACGGCAGCACTACCCGCCGCACGTCCGAGCTCGGCCACCGCCTCCCGCGCTGCTCGGTCCCGGAGGCACCCAGGGCCCGGAGCGGACCATCCCCGGGCGGAGGGTCCAGGGGGAAAGCGAGCCGCCCGGAAGTGGAGGTGCGCGGGCCAGGTAAGGGCGCAGTCCCAGGAGTGAAGGCAAGCGCCGAGGCAGGAGTCACCCCGCTTCCTTGGCGTTTGGGGAGGGCAGGCGGGACCTCGGCGTGTCGCGCTCAGGGAAGTTGAACTTCTAAGCCACTCCCCTCCACCCGCCGCCCTCGGGGACTTGGGTCGGTCCGCTGGGCTCCGCTAGGGCTCTATTCAATGGACTGTTTACACCCGGGAGGACGCAAGGCGGGACGCGGGGAGGAGGATCTCGGAGGGGGCCAGGCAGGGAAAAAAACTTCAACAGTCCGCATCGTTTCTTAAGGCGACTTTCATAAATCGTGAAGGCAGCTGGTTCTTGTTTTTCCTGTTGCTACACGATGAACTAGCTGAGACAGCGGAAAGTTTTTGCTTTTCTTTCCGGTTCCCCCTCTGAGCCGCTGCCCCGTGGTCTCGTCTTTCCCGCTTTCCCCTTCCCTCCCCCGTTCAATCGGCGGCGCTGGCTTCCGTCTTAAAGGGGCCGCGGCGGCCGGAGGAGGAGGAGGTGGGACGCTTCGCGGCCTGCGCTCCTTGCCTCCCCGCCTCGGCCTGGTCGTTTAACCGATTCTTTCGCCCACAGGTCACAATCCAAGGTCCCGCTCCTCCGCGTCCCGGGGTCGGACGGAGGGATGAGGCAGGGGCGGGCCGGGCAGCGCCGTTGCTGCTCCCCCCGCCGCCTGCAGCCATGGAAACGGGGGAGGACGGCGCCCGCAGAGGTACACAAAGCCCAGAGCGGAAAAGGCGAAGCCCAGTGCCGCGGGCGCCCAGCACGAAGCTGAGGCCGGCGGCTGCGGCCCAGGCCATGGATCCAGTGGAGGCCGAGGCCCCGAGAGAGGCCTACTTGGCGCGGCGGCGGCCGGAGGGCGGCGGCGGTTCTTCGCGGCCGCGCTACAGCCTTTTGGCGGAGATCGGGCGCGGCAGCTACGGCGTGGTTTACGAGGCAGTGGCCGGGCGCAACGGGGCCCGGGTGGCGGTCAAGAAGATCCGCTGCGACGCCCCCGAGAACGTGGAGCTGGCGCTGGCTGAATTCTGGGCCCTGACCAGCCTCAAGCGGCGCCACCAGAACGTCGTGCAGTTTGAGGAGTGTGTCCTGCAGCGCAACGGGCTAGCCCAGCGCATGAGCCATGGCAACAAGAGCTCGCAGCTTTACCTGCGCCTGGTGGAGACCTCGCTCAAAGGTAGGAGCACCGCGGGCCATCCCGCCCACGCAGGGCCGGCCGGACCCGCTGCTTTCTGGACGGCTCGGTTCAAACTGTCCCGGATCCCCCTAGGCCTTGGTCCTGGTCGTGTCACCCTGGGCCTAGACACACCCTCGTTTCCCCGGGCCCAGGCATTGGGGCCTCGCTCTCTCTTCTCTGGACCCCGGACAAGTCCCTGGCCCCAAAGCTGGCTGGGTTTTTACTAACTGGGTTTTTCATAACAAGACCTCATTTGAGTGCTAACCATTATCTTAGCAAGTGCTCCATAAATGTGAGCCATTGATTATTGAGCGACTAGCACTTTTAAGATCCGGTTGGGAAGTGGAGGGGGTTGGGTTCAGAGTTGGTGGCAGAACTTCAGAGCCCTCTCACCCTTTAGTGCCTTTTCTTTTTCCCTCCCAAAACAAACAGAAAAAACTTTACCGAACCTACCCATACTCTCTCCCTCTTGGTTCTAAGTTTCCTGACATCCTCCCAAACTCTTGCTTACTAGCCTGCCTTTTCCTATGAGACCCCCAGCCCTTCATCCCAGGCACTCGAGCAGAACGACAGTTTTCTGGCTTGGTCCTCTGAGATGTGCGGGCTAATAGCCCCCACAGGTGGGCCTAGAGCTGTCACAAAACAAAACCTCTAATATCTTTTCTCTTCATTTTACATTCTTGGTCTTTTTGTTAATCTCTGAGGCTGGCTGGGAAGAGGTTTTACTTATGAGGAAAATGGGATTCATTGAGGCAAGGGGTCTTGCAGACCTGGAAGACTAATAATCCTGGTTTCTGAGTTTTAACTGCAGTTGCTGAATGTGTTCATCCTAAGTGCTAAGTACTCATAAGCCTCGTTCAGACTGCAGGTAGCTGGGGATCTGCTCAGAGGAGAGGGGCAGTGGGCTAGGAAAGTCTGAGAACACTTCTGAGGCAGGAGAATCCAGGAGAAAGGTTACTAATCTGAGTCTCAGCTGTGGTCTGGGCTCTGACATAATTTTAGGTAACAACTTTAAAAGTAGATTCTGTCCCCTTTCTATAAATAAACTAAGGCTTACAGGAGAACAACTAATAACTTGATTAAGGTTAATCCACTTGAAAGTCGGACTGTACTCCTGATTTCCCTTGTACTTCTCATAGCTTAAGTGATGTGAACCCAGATCTGTCTTGATTCAAGGCCTGGATCCTTTGAAAGAGTAGTCCTGTCCTCCTTAAACCTTTAAGAATAGGCAGGATTTTGGGTGAGGTTGAAGGGTGTGGTTTCCTAAAATCTTGTTTGGAGCTTTCGTGCAACTTTAAAGATCCCACTAAGCCTATCCTAAGAGAACTCCTTCTCTCATTTCAAGTCCCTGTTTGACAGTGGGTTAGGAGACGTGATCAGTATCACCTGAGGTCCTTTTTAGACTTCTACCTTTATGTGCATCCCTGCCCCATCCATTCTGAAAAGCCCACTCTCCTGGGGGGAGTATTTTTTCCCAGGAGATTATTTTGATCTTTTTTTAAAAAAAACTTTTATATAAGAAATGGGGTCTCTTATGTTGCTCGGGCTGATCTCCAACTCCTGGGCTCAAGTGATCCTCCCACCTCAGCCTCCCAAGTAGCTAGAATTATGGAATGCACCACCACATCTAGCCCCAGGAGATTCTTTTACCTTACCTGTATTCTGGGAGCTCATCACTTATTTTGAAGTCCTATTCTCAGAGTGTATCCTGCTATATGGTTAATGAATGGTCTGGACTTCCATATTACCGCACTGCCTTGTGGTGTGGGAACTTGCTTTGCCAAACATTCCATCTATCCTCAGTTCATTGATGCCAGTCTTGGAACTTCAACCTCAGTTTGAAGCCCTTTCTTACTCGCCCAACATAAATATAATTTAGACTTATCTTGCATGTAGAATTTGTCAAAATTTCGCAATAAAGAAAGGCAGCAAAGCATAGCGATTAATACTGTGGACTTTGGGGTCAGACTCAGACAGCATGAGAAATGGGACAAATTGTAAAACCTGTGAGGAGCATTCCTTTAGATAGGGGTACCTGTGGCATAGGGGCATAGGGCTGCCATGCAGACCGGGAATGTCCCGACAAGTGCTCCAGGTAAGAAGGAATTCACTGCCTCAATAAATTCAGGCTACCTTCTCCATCCTCTTCTGCCGTCATCGCCTTCAAGATTCACTGTTCTTGTTCAGGTTTCCCAAACTTGTTTGACCACGGAACATACTTTATTTCCTGTGTTGTAAGCATTACCAAGTTGACAAAAACACTTGTATTTTCATCCTCCCTTTATAAACTAAAACCGAGACCTAGAGAAATGAAATATTTTGCTTTAGGCCACATACTAAATATGTCTCTTTCAATTGTTCATAGAGCCTTCAGAATATTTGAGTCTCCACAATGTTCTGGGATTGGAGATAGAACAATGAAGAAGATGTGCGTTCTCTCTGCTTGTGAATATGACATTCAAGCTTACGTATCATGTGTTAATTTAGCATGTAGTAAACAGGCAGTCGGATCTTTTTGCTTGTTAATTTTAAAGTGGAGAACAAAGATCCAAATTACTCCAGGTTAAGTTTTCCTAAGTCTACCTTCCAAAACTTAGTGGTCTTGGTCTGTCCTGGGGTCCTGTTTGCAGCATGCATTATAATACCACCAACAACGTTAGAGCTGGGAGGGATCCCAGAAATAACCTGGTTCAGCTCTCCAGCAGAAAAATCCTTTGCAGTCACCCTTTGCCAGGTCTCCCACAACTTAGAATGATTTCAAAATAGACCAAAAAATGTTATTCTGCCTTGAATTCTCAACTTCACCCAGTGCTGAGTCCATACTGTAGTATTTGCAGGGAAAGGAAAAAAACTTAAAAAACAAATCATTCCTTGCCCCAAAGGAACTTACATTTGAAAAGCTTGAGGACTAGTAGTAGACTTAATGCTATTCAAGGTCACTGGAGGAAATGGCAAGTTGGCTGATTAACAAGGGCTTTGTACCAAAGTAAGAGGAAGGAGAATCGCGAAGGTGGGCTTGCAAGATGTGTGCCTAGGATCGTGGGTAGGCAAGGAAGAAACAGTGAATCTATTTCACTATTGGGCTAATAGATTCGTTTTTCCCCCCTCAGTCTCCAACTTCTAGTGAATACATAGAAGGCATTTGTATAGTCTTAAATTATATGATCTATAAAAATTCCAATATCAAAAGAAACTTCTGGAAATGAATGCTGTTCTTGGTCTTGCTCATTTTGTTTGATAGACTTCTGTGCCTTATGTCAGTCCTTTCTGAGCATGGAGCAAACATGTCCTACTCAGAAACATTATAAAGAGAGCAGAAGCTATAGAGGGTTAGAAGAGGTCTTAGGTGTCTGATCTGGCCTTCTGTTTCAAAGGAAGAAAACTAAAGTCCAGAAAAGGAGCAGGACTTGTCTGAAATGAGTTAGTGGCAGTGCTCAAATCAGCCTCCTAGGCTTTTATAAACCAGATTAATAGTCCTATAAATTATTTGGTTGTTGGGCTGGTGCCTGTGTCTCTTTGTTTAACTTTGAAGTACTTTTCAAATAAAAAGAGTGAAGGCATCAATGATTTGCTTTTATCCCCTTGTTTTCCGTTGCTAAAGGACCCTGTCCTGAATGCACCTAAAACAAAGTTCAAGATATCACTGCCACTTAGAAGTCAGCAGGCAAGCCTGATTCATTGTCAAACTCAGAAATTCTGTTGCTTTCTCTAATGCACGCACTGATCCTTCTGACAAACAGCACGCGAGGACCAAAAAAATTCAGTACAAACTCTAAGCCTCATAAAACTGAATTATTAGAAGTTTGGAAGAGCAGGAAGCCTAGGTTATCCTCAGCTTGGTAAGACACTAACTAGTCTTGCTTTACCAGTTGTTTGTTTTCTGTGCTCAAGATGCCTTTAGGTAGCTTGAGATGGCTGGGAATGTAGGCTTTGGGAAATAATCTTTTTTTTTTTTTAAATAGAGACAGGGTCTCACTCTTGCTCAGGGTGGTTTCGAACTCCTGAGCTCAAGTGATCCTCCTGCCTTGGCCTTCCAGAGTGCTAGGATTACAAGCATGAGCCACCGTGCCCGGCCTTTCGGAAGTAAAATTGCCTGCACACCAAGTGGCTGCTGTGAGCCAGGTCACTGTATTTGAAGAGCTTCCTCCATGAGGCCTGCAGAGGACACATGCCCAAACGCACACAGTGGAAAGTCACAAGTGGCAGCATCCTAGAAAGCAGTAGAGGTTCTCTCTGGGAGTTTAGTTAGAGGCTTTGGGGAGCAGGCAAAGGAAGTAGCTGAGGGAGGAACTAGTGTTCTAGCTGGGGGAGACCAGGGATTTAGCAGTAGATTAGTTGTCGGCCTGCAGACTCCTATGGAAAACAGCTAAGCAAATAACCAGGTCAGGATTCAAGCCCAGGCATTCGAACTTGAGTATGCTGTCTTAACCACTATGAGGACAAGCGGCTTACGTTCCAAGTTCTGTATTTCTCAGTTATAAAATGGGCATAATCATATTTTACTCAGAAACTAATGACTACTATTTATTTTTAATTGTGTATTAATCAGTGCTCATGACACTACCGGTTTCCGCTGGTGCCTTCCATCTGTCTCACCTGCCAGGGACTTTGTACCTGCTGTCTGGTGTACTCTTGAATGTCTTGAGACAACCATGTCGACTTCACTCTTGCTCTTGACTGACTGCCTGCCTTCTGTGCGTTGGGGATTTTAGGTTCCAGCCCCAGGAGACAGAAACAACCCTTCCTTAATTGAGAGCTTTGGTTAATTGGGGTTGCACTGGGTAGGGCTTTTTATAGTGTAAACTCTCAAGGAAAGCTTAGCTTCCTTAGTAGAACATCGGTTCATTTTCACCTCAAATTCGGCCTTTGGTGGTATCCTTAGGGCTAGGTACCCTCCTTAGTGACTCTCAAATTCTGCATCCTGACCCAGTTGTCTTCATATATTCTTCGTGCCCTACCACTACTTTCCCTATTCTTCCTCTTATTTATACGTCTCCAGC